GGCTTTTGAGAGCAGAGACTTCAAGAAGTTCATTCAAAAACATGCTGAGTGGGCATGTGCTGGGTTAGCGTTCAATGCTGGGGCTACAGGTGTGAGGTGGGGGGAAGCTCACGAGTTTCACACTCCAGCAGGGTGAAGCAGAAGGCTGATTTTGTTCCCTGCCTAGCATCAAAACCAGCTTCCTTGTAGTGAATTAGTTTGCAAACTGTAAGAATGAGTTTGGGGATCTGGCCCTGGTGGGCTAAGGAGAGAAGAGGAGAAATGTCTTAATAAGGCTCCAGGTATTCTCCCTGGGCAAGATGGTACCTTCACGAAGACTCAGGGTGAACTGTAAGTTGGGGTCACTGCTGCTGCAATTCAGGCAGCGACCATGTCGCCTGGCTCTGCTGGGTGGGGGAAGGTGGGTGACTTGGAAAGGCTTGTGAAGCAAGGGGCTGCTAAAGAGCTGGCTAGACATTTTGTTGTTGTTGTTAGGCCTACTGTTAGGAAGTGTCTGAGTCAAACCAGACCTCTGGCAGATGAGGACCATGGCCAGGCTTCGGCTGAAGCAGCTCTACTGCTCTCTGGGTTGATTTGAATGGAGATTGTAGGAGTCACAGATATTACTTCATAGCCAGAGGCCTCTGGACCGAGGGAGGCACTGTCCAGTGTTGCTGTAGCTGTAGACCGGGCACTAGAGGTAGACTTGATCTTGGCTTTCCTGTCCAGTGGGAAGATGCCGGTGTGAGGTCTGGGGAGAAGGTCAAGGTGAATAAAATGTGAAGGTTCCTGGCAGGTTTAGGACAGTGCAGATGTTAGGAAACAAGGTGGTCACGGGGTGATGTGTTGCATGGTAGCCCCTAGGAGCCTAGGAGGGGAGAGGCAGTTGCTCACATGCAGACTGTGTCCTCTGGGATTCCAGCTCCTGGGGAAGGAGAGGAAGAGTTGCGAGGCCATGGCCTTCACTTTCCTGGGGACAGAGGAAGAATCGAGGAACCAGCCCGCCTGTCCCTTTGAGGGCCTGCTGTGCTGGGGAGAGTGCAGGGAAGGGCTTTGGTGTTCATTGGCTGTGGTCTTGAGCAAGGCTCCGCTTTTTCTGGGTCTCTGTTTCCTCTTCAGGAGGCACTATCTCTATGGACTCTGCCTACTCTGATGCCTAGTGGTTGTCAAAGAGCTTAAAACCCACTCAGTAAGCACCCATAGCTCAATGAAAGAATGAGGACGGGATAGGCTTGTAATCTCTGAGGCAGGAGAGAACTGGTATTTGGGGATCCTGTTGGCCCCTGGCCTCGGTCCTCTACAACTGGAGGGGTATTATGCCCCTTTACTAAGGTACAGATGAGGTGCTGGTGCCAGGAGTACTGGGAAGAGTTAGGAAACCACATTCTCAGCTTTGGCTTCACACTAGCAAACCAGTACTCAAGGGGAGGACTGTGATCGCCAAGGCTAGCTGCAGAAGTATGGAGGTGCCCAAGAATATGCACCCGACTTACAGCTGCCCAGTGTCCCCGGGAACAGAACTTGGAAATGGGCCACACCTTCATTGGGCAGGTAAGGAAACAGACCCAGGTAAGTAAAATGGAAAGAGAACCTATTTCACTCTCTTGGTGCAGGGCCCGCATTCCACAAGCTAAGGTTGGATGGCTGGAACTATGCGGGCTCCACAGAGGCTCAGGCCACTGGAGTGCTGGTTAAGCCTGCCTCTGCCTTTCCCCCACTGGACAAATGTGTTGGTGGGGCAGCCTCCTGGCCCCTGGGAGGCTGTGCCGCCCCCTCCCCCTTTCTCAGCACTGAGCTCTCAGGCCAAGCTCAGGTGGGTGTGGAGCACAACTTTGTCTTTCTTAGGAGACAACTCGAACTTGGACAACCTTCACTCCACTCCCTAAAAATCCTGTTTTTCCTGTCCAGAGTCCCTGTCTTTAAGAACATCGCCTTCCTTCTTTCCTTCATTCCATGTGTTGATTGAGTGTTGACTTTGAGCCAGATGTGGGGCTACGGCTGGGCACAGGTGGTCAGCACAGGGTCCCCGTGGTGCCCTCCCAAAGTCCACAGTGTAGTCCGGGAGACAGGTTAATAAGCAACCGCCCTGGACGGAGACAGGTGCCTAGCGGGGGGACACTGCACCCCTCCCTGGAAAACTGGAGACTTCTGCACGCCATAGAGGGAGGGGCGCCAAGGGAATGGAATGTTGCAGACAGGAGGAACTCATTTCCCTCATATGCCCATAATCACATTACTGGTATTAATAAAGGGCTTTTAGTTTGCGAAATTTAAACCCAAACATTGTTTTCTTACTATATCTATGTCAAATTAGCATTGGATGGTAGTAAATGCCAATTTTTAATTATTAAATTCTGTTCACGGTGTCATCTTCAATGCCACACCTAGCGAGAGCTGCCTCAAAAATGGTGTAGTCACTATGCTAAGTAAAATCTGAAAAGATCCCACCAGTATTCCAATCCCGTGACTCCTTTTAATAAAGTTCTCCATTTGTGAATGAAAAAAAAAGGCAACAGAATTGGAGGGTCCGCGAGGGGCTTGGGGTCCAGCCAGCGGAGGCTCAGAAGTTGAACCCGCACTGGCACGCGGGCAGAGGAAGCCGCGCTGGTGCCTTTGGTGCCAGGGCCGGCGCGGGGCGGCTGTCGCGGGCGGCTGTGCGGTGAACCACCCTGGCGCTCCGCCGCCGCCGCTGCACCTGCCCGCCTTGACCAGCAGCGCAGCCCGCGCCGGCAGAGGGCGCTGCGGGGCGCGGGGCTGGGCGCCAGCTCCCGTCGCTAAGGTCGCTCTCTGGCAGGTCGCGTGGGGTGCGGGGAAGAGATGACAGATGATGGACATCCTGCGGTGCTCGACCAGGAGGGCCCCTCCGACAGGTCAGCGAAGAGTCGGCAGGCCGGGGGCCATAACTCAGGGGTGGGGGGGCATGGCTCGGGGGCCAGGACTCGGGGAGGGGGCAGGGCTGGGGGCCAGTCGGGTCCGCGGGGCGGGGCGTGGTGCTGAAGATGAGCTGGCGTGGGGCGGGGAGGGCGGGGAGTGTGCGGCTCCGGGCGCCGGTGGCGGGGAGGAGCGCTGGGCGAGTGTCGCCCCCACGGGTTCTCGTGGCTGCTGCCTGGCCGCGCAGCTTTGAGTGTGTGCGCTCAGTTGGTTTTATTTTATTTTGAACTTCTTTGACATCACCCTTTTTTATCGTTCATGAACTACTGATCACAGACAGAAAGACTGTGCCAGAAAGATTTAGTTCTGCCTTTTAGGTTAATGCCAGTATTTGAGAGTCAGGCCTGATAGAAAGCAGTAACAAGTGCTAGATAGAAGTGAAAAAAGAGAAAGACTGTAAGTCTGAAGTATGATAGTCCACATTTCCAGGGGTCGGATTTCAATGGGAATATCCCAATTTAGGGATATAGGTCTTTTATGAGCTTACAGATTTGAACTTGAAATTTGTGCTAGAATTTAAGAACTTGATAAGAAAACAGCACTTTATTTGGAAAATTAAGGATAAAATGGCTGTTTAATTTCTTCATACAAATTGGGCTTTAAACGCATAGTGCATTTGACTAGCATACTTAAATATTGTACCCTCCAAATATTTAAAAAAATATCCTTACTGATTTTAGAGAGGAAGGGAGAGGGAGAGAAACATTGATGTGAGAGAGACACATCGATTGACTGCCTCTTGCACGGGCAGGGATCGAATCTGCAACTCAGATACATGCCCTTGACCAGGAATTGAACCCGAGACCCTTCAGTGTGGGGCTGACGCTCTAACCACTTAGCAACACTAGCCAGGGCTGTATATATATAGTAATTTTTAGACTCTAAATTTTGTGCTATGGGCCATGAAACTAATACAATGTATAGTAAGTACAATGTATAGTATAGGAATGATAGGGCAGTTCAGAGTTTATTTAAGAAAAACAACTAATAATTATTGTACCTATAATGGCACACTACACTTTTTTACTAAAGCCTTAAGAATTCTTTTAAGGCACACCCTGCCATACTGTCCCATTCATGTGCAACATAGATGGAGCAATTTTCATTAATGAATAAAGTGTTAGAAATTTTTAAATTAACTAGAGGCCATTAATTCTTAATATCCAAAGCTTGTCTTGTAAAAAAGTAGAGAGAAAAAAAATAAAACCTCAACTTTATTATTTCTGAATGGGTTAAGATGAGGCGGCAAGCACAATGGGTGTGAGCAGGCTTTCCACAGGGACTTGGCCTTGGGTAGTAAGGCTTGTGTTGTGACCTATTAGGCTTCGATTATTTGACCTGTTTTCTTTGACTATTTTTCTCACCTTCCACTGAACCTTAAGTCTAGGAGGTATCCCCTTCCCTTCTTGTAAACATTGTAAAAGTCCATCTATTCTGTCGTTAGTGCTGAATGCGTGAAGTGAAGCATGGTTCTTTGTCCCCTGTCCCAGTGACCAACTCAAATAATACCTGTCAACACTAAATTGTCAATCATGTTGTGTCTGTTTCATTTTTTTGGTATTTGCATGTGATAGCTTTACACTTGCCAGTGTCTTTTATTGAGGCTGTAAGCCGGCAATAGTAAGACTTTAATTATAAAGGACCCTTGTCTTAAATTTCCCAGCAAGATAAGGGAAAAGTAACCTGCTGGCAATCTATATATCCAAGCTTTGCTCAATTCTGCCACCTCCAGTGAAGGCTAGACACTTGACAGCTAATTGATTGAGTGGCTGGGAGTGGGCCTGGACTGATGGAAAAGCAGTCAGTGTTTCTGTGGTCGGATCTTGCCAGTAGACTGTAAGTTGCTGATTTACTAAAAGACCCCTTAGGGAGGTAAGACCATATGAATTAAAAATGTTAACTGCTTTGCCCTGGCCGGGTGGCTCAGCGGGTTGGAGTGTCCTCTAGTACACCAAAAAGTTGGGGGTTTGATTCCCAGGCAGGGCACATACCCAGTTCCATGCAGTTTTTCTTACAGGAGATGGTGACACCTGGAAATAGAGGCAAAAGGAGGAAGGTATGTATTCACATAAACCACAACTCCCTTCAGGTTAGGCACGAAAACATTTATTATTCTTTCCACACGAGTTGTGTAAAGGGATAGGAATTTAAAAAAGATTTTGTAATTGGCAAAGGAAATGAAACGAATAGGCAGAAACCTAAATGAAAAGAGGCCCGAATAGTTTCAGGATCAGCAACTGGGACGTGGGGACCAGCAGCTGCAGGAAATCACTTTGTCTGTCCTCTGGAGGGTGGGTAGGGCGGAAGGCTTCGCTGGGCCAGTGACTGGTGGTAGGAAGAAGACAACGAGATGGCATCTTGTAACAGGGATGCACCAGAAGGGGAGACTGACAGCCACCCACTCACAATACCCACATGCACCCCCTCGTCACCCGCCTCAGCGAGTCTTGGTTCTCGAGGCTTCCTTGTGCCGCTCCACCAGGGAGCCAATCCACTCCATGGTTTTCTGCTTGGCTTTCTCCCAGCTGAAGAGCGGCTGGTACCCCAGATCTTGCTGAGCTTTCTTGTAGGAGAAGGTGAAGACGCTATTCAACAAGGTCACCGTGTGGCGGTTGAAGGGGGGTTGATACCTGTAAATGGGACTGAGCAGGAAGCTCACTATTTCCAGCAGGAAGCCCAGCCAGTACTTCGGCAATACAGGCAGGCTCATCCGGGAATCCAGACAGAAGCCCCATTCTTTGCTCAGAGTGTAGTTGAGGTGGTCGTAGCTCTGGTGCGGCGTGTCATCTGCGATGTAGTAGAACTGTCCTTGGATGTTTGCGGCTTTCTCAGGGTCCCGCAGGGCCCTCAGAGCCAGAATGTGGGCCCAGGCCACGTTGCCAACATACACTGGGTTGACGATGGAGAACTTGCTGTTGTGTGGCAGGATGCCATTGTTCTTCAGGGCGTGATCAATAAAGCCATAAAGGAAGGGGCTTCCTTCCCCATAGATATACATGGGCCTTAAGGCACACGTGTACAAGGTGCCGCCATTTTTAAGAGCCCACCCATTCGCGGCCAGCACAGCCTTCTCGGCAAGCTTCTTGCTGTACGGGTATGCAGCCGACCACGTGGTTTCCAGAGGCTGGTCTTCAGAGGCGTTCTGGATGACCTCCCGGTAGGAGTTGGGCCCGGCCACCTCTATGGTGCTGGTGTAAATGAAGATGGGCACACTGGCCTGGGCACAGGCCTCCAGCAGGATCTGGGTACCTGCCCACAGGAGCACGCAGTCAGTGTCAGGCAAAAGCCCAAAGGACCCATGCCCACCGACCCTGTCCACCCCCACCCCCAGGGGGGAGGGGTTATTGCAGACCAGGAGGGAATGCTCCCTTGTCTCTGGCTGAGAGCTGACATGCCAATGCCACAGAAAAGTGCAACTATAAAAAGCAAAGATGTCTAGGCTTTTGGATTTCATGGGCCTGTGTGTGTACTTCTGATTCTGGAATAGGACATAGGATTGCCACTTCATATTTTCCTGATGATGGACATGAACAAATGATCATTTTTCATCCCTACCACCTCATTAATGGAAGGCTATTTTAAATAAAAGAAATTAGGAGGCTATACTCTCAGAATATGGACAGTCCTAGTCCCTAGGCAAAAGAGAACAGTTAAAGGACTCTCATCTCAAACACACACACACACACACACACACACACACACACACAGGTTTATAGGTAATAAGCACTCTTAAATATATATTGAATTGTTTGTATTCTCTTTTTAAGGACCAATAAAAACGTAGTCACAAGGACATTTCTTTGAGAGCCACTGAGCAAATTAGTGTTTTCTGGGGAGAAGCTGGAGATCCAGGTTCTGCTCCCGATTGTGTGTCCCCTGTAAGGCCAATCCTAGTTCTGTCTGTGACTTCCCAGGTATGAAAAGTGGGCGTGATAACCCTCCTCCTCCTAAGCATTGCGGAATTCCGCACTGGCCTTGCACGTTGAGCCTGGGGGAGAATCAGGAGGGGGCGCCCTCTGGTGGTGATACCTACAACTGGAGGATCTGGCAGAATCCCTTTAGCTGGGTAGAACCTTAGCTCTGGGAAGTAATCCAGAGCGCCCTCCCTACAAGGAATCTCTGGGCCAAAGCATCATTTTTGCATTTAAAAATCCCTTTTAAGGACATTGTGAAGTTTGATTTTGGGGAGAGACATCTTCAATTAAAAATAATTTAAATCTAGAGGCAGAGAATATTTGGAGCTAATTTACCTGCTGAGGGGGAAATGACAATCATCATGAAGTATTTTCTAAACCTGGGAGTGACCTTGCTTTTAGTCAACTTAACACTTCTCGGGGATTTTAAATCTCCTGTTGTTGGGAGCTGTGAAGGGTGGGGACTGTGAGAGAGGGCTGACCGCGAGAAACTGGTTACTCTCACCCCCTCCTTGCAGTGTGGGGGTGATCAGGGGTGTGGCTTAGTGGAAACATAAAGGGGTCTTTTTTGTTATTGTGCTGTTTTTGGCTAGAAACCCAAAGCCATACGTTGCTTTAGAAGAGGAGTCTGAGTAGACTAACTTGGGAGTGCAGGGCACAGAAGACAGATGGGCTAGGGAGATGGGGTGCTGCCGTCCTAGAGAGGCTGGGCGCCAGAGACCAGATGGATGAGAATAACGGCAAGCTAATGAGGGGTTTAAGCCAAACCCTCGAGCAAATGCATCTAAAGTAGATTGGGAAGTCACACTTCTGAAAGAGCACCCAAGCCTTTAAGGTCTGAGGATCGAAAGTGTATCTTGACACCTGGTTAGAACTAGTCTTTAAGAGGAGACCTGGTAGTGGGTGAAGAAGTGGTGTTATGGATAATGGGATACCATTATTGTTAAGAAAATGTTACAGGACGTCAGTGCTCCATGATCTGTAGTTCCAGACCCCTGCACCAGCCTCATCCTGCACAGGAAGTCCCGCCCAACGAATCCGGCCCAGAGCTGAGGCCCATCGCTTCTGACTGACCTAGGGCCACCTCATCCCAGAGCCCTTAGTTCTTGGCCCTACTGTGTGACCACCGCCTTAGAGCCACACGGGAGGGCTAAAATGATGACTAAGGAAGCAGCTGGGAGGCCTGGTTCCAGCCCAGGGGAGGTGGTTTGGTATCAAGTGTTGGAGGTTGGAGTTTAGTTCCCTCTCGATGGGAGCAGCACTAGAAAGAGCTTCTGTGGCCTTTGGAGTCACACAGCTGTGGGTTTAAATCCTAGCTCTCCCTCTCTGGCTCATGGGGCCTTGGAAGCTACTTAGCCTTTCTCAGCCCTAGTTTTCTCATCTAAACACCTGAGGACACCTGGCTGGTGTGGCTTACAGGTTGAGCATTGACCCATGAACCAAGAAGTCCTGGTTTGATTCCTGGTCATGGCACATGCCCAGATGGTGTGCTGGATCCCCACTAGGGGGCATACAGGAGGCAGCCAATCATTGATTCTCTCTGATCATTGATGTTTCTCTATCTCTCCCTCCCTCCCTCCCTCCCTCCCTCTCCTTTCCTCTCTCCGAAATCAATAAAACATTAAAACAACAGCAACAACAAAAAAAACCCTGAGGACAACAGCCAACACTCTCCCGGTTGGTAGTGCTAAGCAAAAGCACAGATCTCAGGAGATCAGGGACTGGGCTGCTCCTCTCTACCTTGTCCTGTTCTCCCAGCCTCACCTGCCCACCCCACGCCACCTCCTCCCGATATAGTACCTTTCAGGTTGACATTCATGATGGTCTCTCTCGGAATGACATTGAAGACGTCAATGACAGACGCGGCGTGAATGACAGCTGAGATGCCCTGGCAGGCTCTCTTCATGAACTGTTCATCCAGAATGTCTCCTTCCAGCAAGGTCAGCTTGCTCTGGCTCTGGAGCTCTGTGTGAACACCGTCAGGTCACTGAGAGGCATCTTGGATCTGGGAGTTTCCTGATAAAGGTGGCATTTTACCCAGGTCTCCTAGGACAAGTGGTGGGGAGGGGGGAAGAGGGCGGGGCGAGGGAGGGAGGCACATTCCACAGAAGGACAAGTAATCCAAAGCACAGAGATCAGAATGTGTAGTGTTTATTGGAAATAGCAGACATCTGTCTCCACCCATCTCATTCCAAAAAAGAACTTGAGCAGTGAGGAGTCAAGCGTGCCCGGAACACTAAATTGTCAAAAGGACTTGTGGGAAGTCCATCCATTCATTGAGGAGAGTGGGGTGATTGTGGAGAGTGGCTATAAAGAGGACAGAATTCGGATTTCATTCTGTAGGGAATGAGGATCACGTATGGATTTGGACTAAGTGGAGAAACGTGAACAGAGCTGTGTAGGAAGCTCACCCTGGCCGCAGTGGCTTGTGGGGAGGGTGTAAGAGAAAGCAAAGCAGTGGAGAGATCAATCTGAGTATCTGGACCAAAGTTCAGACGGGGGCACGGGAGCCAGGGTCCCAGCAGCTGCACTGGGCAGAGAAGGGGAGGGATGCACAAGGGTGGACGTGCAGACCTCGCCGTGGCAGGTTCTGGTTCTTGTTGGAGATGGGCTGGGAGGAAGAGTCAAAGTCTCGGGTACCAGGAGGAGAGTGGAACCACTGGCGGGGAATTTAGGATGAGCCCACGCTCTTATTAGGTGCCGAATGAAAGCTCCCAGCCCTGGAGCCGAGGGCAGCAGCTGCCACAGCAGGGTCTTCTGCTCCTCTGAAGCCCACGGGAGTGACAGCGCTGTGCTACCTACCGTTTGGATAAACACCCTGCATTTATCCTGTGCTTCCTACTCTACACTCAACCCCCATAGTTTTCTGACTTCCTTTCCGGGCTGTCTCACGAGATAGGCATTCTGATACCCACTTTACAAGTGAGGGAACTGCGGCTCAGAGAGTAAGGGGCCGGTCTCAGTCACACTTACAGTGACTCAGCCTTCCCCCTGCTTTCAGCCTTGCTCACCTCCCTTGCCACCCAAGTGCAGGACTGGCCCAGTTCTGGGGCAGAGTGAGAAGTCTATTGAACAAAAATTGGCAATGGGGGCCAGAGAACAGTAAGAGAGTTCAGAGGGGAAAATTCAGGGCCGGAGAATCTCCTTCCTAGGTCACAACTGGGAACAACCATCTGCTCTCCTGAAGTGTCTGCCAAGTTTGCTCTGCCCCCAGAAGACCCCAGAGTAGGCGAAAGGCAGGAGAGAAGCGGCTAGAAGTCAGCCTGACCCACCTCTGCCCTCTCCCCTCCCTTCCTCTGCCTGTTGTTTGCTGCTGACTTCAGTAGACTGGATCAAAAGACTCAATATATCCTGGGGGGTGGGGGGGCGGGAAGGGGGGTAGAGGGGGGCAGCAGGGGAGGGGAGAAATCTTACCTACCCCATTAGCCTGCAGGGATGCAGAGAAGCCAGGAGAGGGCGCTGTGGAAACCCCGATGGTGGAGCCATGGCTCCCTGGACTTGGTGAGGCTGAATATGCCCTTGCTTATGTGGTGTGAGTTGGGTGGGAGGGAGGCCCAGAGGAAACCTTTCAGGCAAACTAGAGGTTAAGAGCACAGACTCTGAGGCGAGACTGCCTAGGTTCAAGCTTAGCTTTGCCATTTTCCCATGACCCAAGTTCACTTACTAGAAAATTCCTCTCGCAATTCCGGTCTGAAGACTTTGTCCAGCGCCCGGATCTCCTGCAGCTCTTTCTCCTCCACCAACAAGCGGACGATCCTCTGCCCCAGGAAGCCTCCTGCGCCCGTCACGAGGCAGCTCCACCCAGCCATGGCACACCTGGGAACCAAGAGGCACGCTCCAGAAACCAGAAAGCTGGGGAGCAGGTGGGATAGAGGCCCACCCCGAAGAAGGCCCCCCACAGAGGCCAGGTGGTTACAGGTGCACACACATCCGTTCTGTTCCCCCAACCCCTCCGCACCCACGACTACTTGAGAGAAAAATTTTAAAACGCTCTAACCTGTTCGATTGCTAAAAGTCAGATGAAAGAACCTGAGTTCTGAGTCTCTTCCTGGAAGGAAGACTGGAGTTTTGCCCCATCCCCTCTGGCTCGGCCTTTTTATCTTGGACTCTATCTACTACATATTCATTGCTCATTCCTGTCCCAGGATCCCTCCTACCACAAAGTGCGGAACTTCAGCTTCAGCTTCTATCTCCTTTCCCTTCGAAGCAGAGGAAGAGAAGGCCAGCTCCAAGGCCACAGCGATAAAGATGCTCGGACACCCGCAGGTGGCTCTGGCTGTGGGGGGCCCACAATCTGTGAATTTCAGCGAGACTAGGAGACGTCTCCCAGCACAGTGGGATTTTTGCCTGTGAAGTAGATACACCCGGGGAGGGGGGCACTCTAGTCCCTGTCTCCTCTCTCAGGGTGTGGCTGGAAATGTCATCTTGCAAAGTCGAGACATTTGCAATGGTAGCAGCTCCAATCACTATGTTGTGCGGGAGGTGACTTTCTTTCCCACGCAATATATCCAGATGTCAATTTTGCTTCCCCCCGTGGAGAGGTCTGGGGGAAGTTATCCAGTGATAGCCGCCCACTTCTATGGCCTGTATCAGGAGATTAGGGGTCTAGTTGTGTTCAAAAACTGTCGCATGTTTGACTAAGTGTTTATATTTTATATCCCCATAAGAATTAGTACAATATCTGACACTTAACAGGAAGTGAATGAATGAATGAATGAATGGAAGGTTACATAAACAATCCAGGACTCTGAATGTCTTAGTGTTTTTAGTCCTATAGTTTAGGTCTCAGTCTTTTGGTGAACCTGTGCTGCCGACCTGTGAACTTGACCAGTGCTTCCCGGTCCCCCTCCGCCCCCCTTTAGGTGGAACAGGGTGGCTACAGGGGGGCTGGAGTTGAGTATTTTCCACCTCCCAGATAGGCTAGGGTCTGCTGAACTAGTTTCTCTCGAGGGCGGGCCTTGCTAAGCGCAGAGAGCTCTGGCAGGCACATTTCAGAATGGTTCCTTTCCCCTCCTCCTTATGGAAGCTCTAGAGGAGTTTTCTCTGATACTCACTGAGAGAACCAGGAGGTAAACCAGGTAGAGTTCCTGGAGGTTAAACAAAAGTCTGGGGGCCTCCTGTGATTGGCCCCCCCCTGAGTTTTTAACTTCCAGACTGGTCAATTTGTCAGTTACAGCTCAGTTTCCTACCTTGGTATGACTTTCATGGAGCTTTGTTCACAGATTTCTGCTCAGGTAAGTTGTGATTCTCCGGGTCTGCCTCTCTCTCCAATGGGGGGCAGCGGTTTGCTCTGTGACCTCACTTTTCTGAGGGACTGAGCAGAGTTGTTAATTTTTCAGTTTGTCCAGCTTTTGACTTGTTAGGATCGAGTGGAGACCTCTTTAAGCTCCTCACATCCTGGATTAGGAAACAGAAGTCCTTTTTGCCATTTAATTTTCACGATGTTAGCCCGAAAGAGTTGGTATTATTGTTTGAGAGAGGAAGACAGAGATGTTTGTAGTCTTGCCAAACATCTCGAGGACAGTGACGTGGGAATCTCAGTCAGGCAGCCTGACCCTGGAGTGGCTTCAAAGCTGATTCTCTTTATCAGAACAAAGGCTTATCTTTTAGATACTAAGTGTACCATTCCATTGTTGCACACTTTCCAGTGGAGAAGTTCTCTTCGCCTTGTCCACCAGGCACCCTAACACAGGGCCTCTGAGGGGCTGAGAGGCCCTCCTGAGAACAGCCTTTTGGCTGCATCTTTATGTCTTTGCTCTTTTTCCTTGGAATCTTGGATCTTGCCATCCGAGTCCAGAAGGAAAAACGACTTCAGAAATAACACACGTGTCCATGACCAAAAAAGAGTATCGCTAACACCAAGGTAGACGTACACAGGGAGGATTTATGGTAGATTCTCTTGTAATGTAAGTGAACTCCATTATCAGCACAGCTTGCTATCATAATGATCACTCTTACCCCAAACCAAACTAGAATGACTCAGGCAAGCGCCCAGCTGGTGATTTCAGGACTGGCCATCATGCCTGCTTACAAGTCTTCATAAGTAAAGTTATTGCAGAGAAAGTTGGGGAATTTTACAAGTTCACCGGTCAGTAAGATAATCAGAGCATCGAAGGGTTAAAGTCGGTGATGCATGGGCAGACCAAATAGCCATCTCAGACGTGGATAAAGAAGATTCGAATTTATTTAAGGAGAGGGGCTGGGGGCTGGGACATCCAAAGGGAAGGGGTACACAGCACTGAGCCAAAGGGCATTGGGTCCATGATGGCAGCAAAAATATACTTAGGACAGTGAAACAAGGAAGGGCATAGAAGCAACAGAAGAGTGTAGGGTGGGCTGCTCTGGCTCACTGAGAAGTCAGAGAACAGCAGGCCTTGGAGACAGGCTCGGGGGGTTAGCAATGCCACTGCCCATTGCTCCCCTCATTGCACGTCTCGCGGGGTCACTTAAAGGGAAGAAGGGGGAAGGGAATGGCTCCTCTGGGGGAGAGTGTGCACTGGGTCCTTTGTCCTGACCATACTTCTCTCTCTCCTGCCGGTGGGAATCTTAGGGGAGGTCCCAGGGGAGGGTCTGAATAGAATATCCATTATCTTTGCTTGTATGCTCCTTTGGGGTTGTGGTCTCCACTGATGCTCGGTGCCCGGGCAGGGGGTCATTAGTGTAGCTGGCCCTGAGGCAGCCACGGTGTCACTTGTCTGGTTTTGCTGCTTTTCTGGGCCTGGAGCTGAAATATAACTGAGGCCTAGATGTTATCTTTAGGAGGAAAAGGTCAGGGGGTCTAAACTGCCCGACCAGCGATAGGAAAGATCAGGGGTCCAAACCTCATGACCAGAGATATGCTAGGGGAGGACAGGTTACCCAGGGACAAGGTTCTTGCTTCCCCAGTTTTGCCCCTTGCAAGGCATCCAGGCTTTCTGCCCTGGTGAGTCTCAGTATTTGGTCCATCGTCTTGCTCTGCTCATGTCTGTCTAACAAGCATGAAAAAAAAAAAATCTGACTTGTGAGGTTGTGAAGGGGTTAAAAGAGTGGATGTTTTTCTACCAATGATTCTCTGGTTTCAAAACGTATTTTCAAGGCTGTTCGTCATTCTTTTGCACCACAAAGGACAGTCTGGTACTGAGGTATTTTCTTATTTCTGATGTGAAGAGAATAATGAGACCAAAGTTGTGGACGTGACACAAGTGGTGTCTGAGGCAGAGTTCTGAGATCTAGAAGTGAAATTCCAGAGAATGAAGTTCTAGGAAGTGCACCACGCCCCACTGTATGTGATGCGGCATCCTAATGGGTGATGGGGGATGAGGCCCAGGACACCGAGATATTGAAAAACTTCCCCAAGGCACCCAGCTTGTCAGGAGCAGTCCTGTCTGTTAACCCCTTGTTTGCATGACTCCACAGCCTATGTTTTAAACTCTATTATTTCCCTATTATCTTTAGGCAGGAGGATGATTTTTGTTGGGGGGTGACTTTATATGTATTGCTCTTCTGTCCAGAATGCAGATGCCCATAGGTGTTTCATAGAGATGTAGAGGATATGCAAGAATTTCATCCACTAGTCAGTCATCATTGACCTGCCCTTTTCTTTCAGAGGGGGATTTCAGGCGAGAGAACAGCATATACAAAGCAGTGAGGCAGAGGAGGGCCTGACACATTTGAGGCAGATGAGGGTTTGGGGTCGGAAGTGTGGGGTGAAGTGGTTGAGCCGCTGGATGGGAGGATTGGGGCCTGGGCAGGATGGTGTCACACACGGGCTCTGGCTTGGTCTTCCTCGGCAGTCCTGTCCCAGCTCTTTCTTTACAACCTGGAGAACTGGATCAGGTCCTGATTGATCTCAGCAACCGACCGGCAGCCTAAAAGAACAAGGAGTTCAGAAGCTCCTCTCTCTCAGCGCCAGAATCCCGCCCCATCATGGTGTGGATAAGCCAATGGGAACAGGCCCCGACTTGCCTGGTGCTCACCCTGAGGCAGTATTACGCATCCAGAATGAATGATGTCATTCTGTTTGCCTCGGGAATTATTTCAGGAGCCTGTGCTTGGGTCGTCTTTTGGCAGCCACGTCAAAATGGCATGACAGAAACGTAGACATTTTAGCATTTTTTAAGCAATGCATGTATGCAGTAGATACCCTTCACCTTGATCTTGGTCCTGCTAGGCTCAGAGACTAGGACGTGTCTGTCTAGGAGGAAATGACTCAGGACAGCTTAGGAGATGGGGTATTTCATACAGCAACGGCCTTCTAAGGAGAAGTTCTGAAAAATGAAACCCCTTTTGTAGTAAAGGGTCCTCATTAGAACGCAAATTTAGGATTGTAGCTGAGATCACACGGGGGCTACAGAAAGTGACTTCGGATAAGAAGTAGAAGAGGCCTGGCCGAGGTGGCTCAATGGTTGAGTGTTGACCTATGAACCAGGAGGTCACGGTTCGATGCCCAGACAGGGCACATGCCTGGGTTGCAGACTCGATCTCCAGTGTGGGGCATGCAGGAAGCAGCCAATCAATGATTCTCTCTCATCATTGATGTTTCTATCTCTCCCTCCCTCTCCCTCCCTCTCTGTAATCAATAAAAATATATTTTAAAAAGTAGAAGAAGAGGGAGAGAGGGGCTGCGTGGCTTATGGGCTGGAGAACTGAGGGCTGAAGGAAGCAGTGAAATCTCCCTGGCGACGAGAAGGCTGCTAGAATTGAACAATAGGATGTGTGACGTTCGCCTGGAATTTCTTTCTATGCCTCTGATGTATGCACCTTCACCTCCCCAAACAGAACTTCAGCAAAATGTGTTACTCACAAAAAATATAACTCAAAAGAGGGTCTTTTCCTAAAAGTGGAAACAGAGGAAGGAGTTGAGTTGCCTGCCTGGGGTGACTGCAGCATACAGAGCCCGTACGCTGGACTGATTCAGCAGAAGCCGCTGTTCGGGCCACAGCGGCTCTCCCAGGATGGACAAAGATCTCGAGAGCCTTGGGCTTCCACAGGGCAGAGAAGAGTGGGACTTCCAAGCAGGCAGACCTACTCACGGAGCACAGAGATGCCAGGATAGACTCTGTGGTTATCTACTGCAGGAAAAATAGTATTGAAGCTGTGGACCCGAAAAAAGGGGGGTATGGAAAGTAACCTCATGGGGTGATCTGATCATAGATTCCCAGCTGGGCAGATCATGGTGGGTAGTCATACCTGAGGCATATCACTTCTTTAGTAAAAGGTAAGCAAGCCCTGGCCATGCTTTCTGTGCCTCCAGGTTCAGGTACCTTTGCAAGGTCTCGATGCCTCTTCTCAGAAGCCAGCACCCTCGGGAGAGCAGGTCGTGTTAACTGCCCTTGTAACCCAACCCCCACGGCGCTATCTCCCATCTTCATGTGATCGTCCCTCCTTAATTGCAAATGCGTAAAGGAAGTTGGAAACTGTCCTTTCTTGAAAGCATTTATCTCTGTTGAAAATTTATCTCTCTTGAAACATTTGCCCCCCTTGCGTCCAGGCGTACGTGCCCTCTGTTTGGCTCGAATAAATCTTTATAAAAATTCTCTACAGCTTCGGATGCTCTTACATCGATGAGGGATGAGAACTTAGTGAGGTCTGTGCAGCCTTCGGATGATGGGATTTCTATGTGGACATTTTTGTTTTTCAAGACAAATCATCATTTTAACCTTTTTGTAAATACAAAAATTTCAGAAATTGGTCTCCCAGTTGGAAAAACAATGCTTTTCAACTTACTTTGTTTTCAGCAATAGTGTTCATAGGGCTCGCCTCCCAGGTCTGTGATGTCACAGAGATATCAGGGGGAAATACCACACGTTTCCAGGGGAATTAGGTGATCATCGATCGGCTGCCTCCTGGGCACCCATTTTGTGTAGGCGTCTTACCTGCCTTGTGCAGGGGAGGAACAGGGAGTGACACAATCTCTGGGTTGCACACTATGATTCTGTATTTTGCTGAGTTCCATCAAATGCACAGGACCCCAACCTGAGATCCCCTCTCTCCAGGGAGGAGTCTGGGGGGTCTTACCTGGAGCAGCGTCTCTTGAACAGAGATCCCCAGGGATGCCCTGTTGTCTGGGTTTCCTCTTCTTTCCCTTCCTCTTGAACCCTCTTCTCTGTCCCTTGTTGGGTTGTGATTACTACTGTTTCTATACATTTAAAACAATACATTCTCATTGTAGAACAATTAGAAGGGAGAGGAGTGCAGAGTCAGGCACAAAAGTGCCCATAATCCTGTTTTTCCTTTCCTTTTTCCTTGCCCCTTACAAAGGTGTTCAAAAGGTCTTCCGTCCTTTCTCAGTAATAGTTTCCGGCTGCATTAACGCTGCCATTAACACGGGAGTGGTGAGTAGGTGTTAACTCTTGGTGGAATGATGAAGCTTTGTTGTTGAGTTTCTATCAGGCTTTTGTGAAAAGAAGTTTGGACATCAATTTCCAAGAAGCGGGGGATTTGTGGGAGAAGGACAGTCGTCTCAGCCTCCTGGAATCCACAGACACCGCAGGTCTTCCCACCCCTCCCCTGCGGCTCCCAATATGCTCTCAGTTCACACGTGTGCCCTCCCCTCCCTCATGGGAGGAACTCAGTGACGTTGGGTCATTTGGAATTCAGTCACTTAGAATTCGAAAAACACAAACTAAAAACCCCAAACCAAATGCCCTTGAAGAGGAAAGTCACCACCATTAGTTGGGAACCACTGTTTTGCGGGATCACTGGGACTCCAGGCTTTGCTGAAAACGTAGAAGTTTTTATGAGCGCCACTTCACGATAATTTCATTTTTGACCGAAACCCATGTAATTTTGAGACACGTTTGTCTTGCTGTCTGTGGTTACGGGGGACAATGCTTCTCCTTCTCGCCCTGTTTTTATCTCTCTCCTGGGTCCCTCTGTACTTCCTCTTTGACATAGTTTCTCGACTATTCACAGTCCATGAGTATTGTTTTACAGTGACACCCAGAGCCACATCCAGAGAGCCTGATAGGATCCGAACAGTCCAGAGTAACCTGCAGGCCTCGCTCCCATAATGTGACACCACGCTTACCTCTGTACACCTTAGTAATGGGACAGCAGGGCTCTCGGTGGGTGAGGACCAGGAAATATGAGCCATAGCTTTTGTGTTTCCTGCAGTTTGTCTTACAGAGGTAACTGAGAACGTGCTAAAGCTTTGAGGGTGCTCACTGATGCATTGCTTAAAATAGCAGAAGCTTAGAAGCAATCCAGATGTTCAACAATAGCAGGTTTGTTATATAAACTGTTCTTTCATGGTTAAGATGTATCAAAGACGAATCTTTGTCAGGGACATTTCTTTCTTGCTGTCTCTTCTGGCATCCCTAGGCTGGGGAGAGGTGCTAGAAGGGGGGCTGCCTTCCTGCTCCTTAGACCTCCGCTTTCAAATCAGGAAAAGAGTTGGACACACTCACCTGTAAGGGCCATGGATGTGTGGAACTCATCCTTTAAAATGTTCAAAACTTCCCCAACACCATGTTCACCCTGAGAGAGAGAGAGAGATGAAGGAACATTGTGACCATGAGCTGAATATAAATTCTAGGTGTGCTCAGAGACATAGAGACGTGGTGAGGAGCATGGGGGTATCTGTGAAACAAAGAAACACCAAGAGGAAAAGGGGTGAGAGCTCTTGAAAATGTGCAGTGCGCTGCAGAGGAAGCCTGGAGGTGCGGGCTGGGCGTATCCCTCCTTCAGGAATCTGCAGCACCTGGAAAAATGGTTAAGCTTGGGGGGCTAGACCACAGAAACTCATGCAAAGGAATGAGAAACGTGGTATCTCCAGGTTGGTTTCCCTTTGGTCTCACCTTGCAGGCAAGACCCCACAGGACTGGTCTCCCCAGGAAGACGCACTTCGCCCCCAGGGCCAGAGCCTTGAGCACGTCGTTGCCCGTCCGGACCCCACCGTCCAGGTACACCTCCAGTTTCCCTTTCACGGCAGCCACCACTTCCGGCAGGGCGTCCACCTGGAGCAGAGCACATGCGGCCTGAGGTTGACTCAGAGCATGGAGACAGCGGGCCCTCAGCATGGGCGAGGACCAGGAGTCTAAACCTCTAGCTTTTGTGTTTCCTGCAGTTTATCTTACAGAAGTTATTGAGAATGTGCTAAAGATTTAAGGATGGTCACTCAGGCATTGTTTAAAGTTGCAGACGCTAGAAGCAATAGAGATGTTCAACAATAGCGAGTTTGTTATATAAATCATCCTTTCGTGGTTAAGAAGCATAAATTGCCAGTTATAAAAGTAGTCACAGGAATGTAGGGTACAGCCTAGGGAATATAGTCAATAATATTGTAATAACTATGTATAGTGCCAGGTGGGCACTGGGCCTATTAGGCAATCACTTCATAAGGTACATAAATGTCTTATCATTATGCTGTACACCTGAAACTAATGTAATATTGTATGTCAAATGCAATTGAAAAGTAACTTTTAGAAAATCATAAACTGTCCATTCATACTATTAAAAATAAGAGGAGCCCTAACCGGTTTGGCTCAGTGGATAGAGCATCGGCCTGCGGACTCAAGGGTCCCAGGTTCGATTCCAGTCAAGGGCATGTACCTTGGTTGTAGGCACATACCCAGTAGGGAGTGTGCAGGAGGCAGCTGATCGATGTTTCTCTTTCATCGATGTTTCTAACTCTCTATCCCTCTCCCTTCCTCTGTAAAAAAATCAATAAAATATATTAAAAAAAAATAAGAGGAGCATATATATTGAAATAATATGATGCCCTTAATATATTTGTGTGAAAAGAAGAAAATTAAAAATATTATGTACCATTTTCAAACCTAAAATGTTATATGCACATTACACAGTTGATAAAAATAATTCCCAAAATATTGACATTAATGATAGTGATAAAAATAGGGGTACTTTTTATCTTTTTTTGCTTTTGTATATTTTATAGTTTCTCTGCACTGCACATGTTCTACATATATATATATATAGTAAAAAGGCCAAAAATAGAGGGGAAAAAAATCCACTTTCTTTCTTAAAATGAGTCAAGCAGCAATAGAAGAATCTGGAAAATAAGCTTCATGAAAATATGTATCTTGAAAATATATATCTTCATGAAGATAAAGCAACAATTAATTCCAATTTAGATGTTCTTTCTCTACCTCTCTCCTCTTCATTTTCTTTCCCCAAACTCCGTATCTAATGCACATAAATTCACTTTAGGGGAAAAATTACAGAGTGTCCTAAATTTTTTGCAAAGGATTCATGGGGCATTTTAAAGTTGTATTGTGAAAGACAGTTATTTATCAGCATAAGTGACATACTGTTCCTTGCTGGGTTGAGTCATTTGAGAAAATGTGAGGTTGCAATCCATGTAGACAGGCAACCTTCCAGCTGAGTGCTCCTTCCAGGAGGCAGGGACCTCAGTGCTTCGGAAACACCTCTAACAGCAAACCCACCACAATGACTTACTAACTGTGTGAACTGGAGACGTTACTTAACACTAATAACTCCAGCAACCCATTCTGCAACATGGGGATAGTAATACCCACCTTGCAGAACTATTGTGAGATTGAGGGATAATAAATGTAAAGTGTGTAAAAACAGCCTGGTACATATGAGGCTATTTAAAGTCCTTAGCCTGGCTGGTATGGGTCAGTGGTTGAGTGTCGACTTATGACCCAGAAGGTCACGGTTCGATTCCCGGTCAGGGCACATGCCTGGGTTGGGGGCTCAATCCCCAGTATGGGGCGTGCAGGAGGCAGCCGATCCATGATTCTCTCTCATCATTGATGTTTCTATCTCTCTCCCCTTCTCTGTTCCTCTCTGAAGTCAATAAAAATATATTTTAAAAATAGGGTATTAAAAAATCTTTAAAATGTACACACATATACCAACATATGTGGTAAGAGAGAGGGGACAGTGCACACCAAACTGCACAGAGTACATTGCTCTAGACCAGTGGTCGGCAAACTCATTAGTCAACAGAGCCAAATATCAACAGTACAACGATTGAAATTTCTTTTGAGAGCCAAATTTTTTAAACTTAAACTATATAGGTAGGTACATTGTTATTAACTTAATTAGGGTACTCCTAAGCTGGCCTTTGCTAAAAACGTCCTCAATCTGATTGAGGTATGTTCACTGAGGTCGACCCCTTCCAACTCTCCCAACCACACTCGTCTTGTATACTTGTTTCGTCTATCGCCTTTCCAAAAACCGACTTCTGCACATGGGCCACGAAGTTTCAATCGCACTGTACGTGCGCACCCGCACGTAGTATTTTGTGGAAGAGCCACACTCAAGGGGCCAAAGAACCGCATGTGGCTCGCGAGCTGTGGTTTGCTGACCACTGCTCTAGACACACACACACACACACACACACACACACACACACACACACTCTCCCTCTGAGGTCCTCCTACTTACAGAAGCAGGAACGTCATCAAGTTGCCTCCCTCCGTGGTTGGAAACAATGATGCCCTGCACATTGTGCTTCACAGCTAACTCTGCATCCTCTTTTGTCAAGATCCCTTTAAGGATGATGGGCAGTTGAGTTATGGTCCGAAACCAGGAGAGATCTTCCCAGCAGAAGGATGAGTCGATGGGAGACATCTGCAGATATGGCATTGAATTTCTCTGTGGGGAATAAAAGGGAAACCTTAGTCCTGAACTCCTTCAAGACTGCTTGATCCATTCCAAAAATGAGGCACATTCAGAAAGCTAGTGAATGATAAGTGAAAAGAAGCAGTTATGAGCTTGAAAAGAGGAGCTATAAAAACCAATCCCATTTCTAGCTCCTTTCCTTTACAAAAATAATTTTATACTTCAATTGCTTATTCATTAACCATTCATTGTTTCCCTGTTCCTTTATGCCAGGATCTGGGGACACAAGACAGCTGAGACACAGTCCCCATGTTAAAAGAACTCAGAGTTTAGTGAGATGGATAAGCAAAAGCATTTATAGGCCAATGTAACATATTCTGGTTGAGAGATGCACAGGACAATGACAAAGAAGCAATACTTCAATAATCCTAAATCCGATAGTATGTAATATTGACCCGACTCACCATGGGTACTACCAAATATCCATAAATTCCTGGACTCTGAGATAAGGGTTCCTGAAAGCCTCAAGGCCAAGTGTGTATGACTTAATGAGTAGGACTGTCGAGTGTATCCTGGCTGGATATTGCTGGTACCCATTAACTGAAAAGCCTAGGGTCCCTATCTTCACTGTAGCCAAGGAATTCCAACTTGACCATGACTTTCTCTCTCTGGGGTATCCCACCCCATCCGTCGGGATTTTAATGGGTGAAGTGCCCTTTGCCGTCATCGAGTTCAGAGATTCCAAATACCTGGTGCTCCCTGGATGAGTTCCAGGTGTGCAGAGATGTTGACCCCTCATTTCTCAGGGCAGCAGGGTGGGGCCTGGGCTGGTTACACCCCAAGGGCTGGTCACCTTCGCTATGAGCACCCCGTCAGAGGGTCAGTTTATCAAAGTGTGCCTCCCAAAATGACTGTTTTCTAAGTGTGCCATGAAGTAGAAAATGTTGGAAGACCCATGCAAAATCCTATTTATAGCTTTCTTAGCACTCGGCCCTGGCAGAACACTTGTGGTGACAGCTCCAGGAGGAGAACATTTTATCTTACACTCTGTTTGTCTGGAAGCTCTGGGAAGCTCTGACTGAACTGCTGCATCACTAGTGTCTGGCACAGGGCAGGCACTCAATGAATCCTTGTGGAAAGAAGGAAGGGAGGAACCACAGAAGGGACGTTGCCTTCTGTACTGCCTGCCCATTGGGCCTGGTATCTTTCCTACCTCCTGAGGTGACCGAAGATCCTTTAGCAGTAAATTTGTCTTCAAGTTCAGTTGGTTGCGAATGTCATGTCGCCTGTTGCCAAGTTTGGGCACATCCACGGTGATCACCAGGGCTCTGAACCCCAAGGATTCTACCCTCTGGACCAGCTGTTTGTTTAGCTGCCGATCTGGCTGCACGTAGAGCTGGAACCACCGGAAGCCTCTGGGGGCCGCGGCAACGATGTCTTCCAGGGTACGGCTGGCATATGTGCTGGTGATGTAGCAGAGGCCGGCTGCTTGGGCAGCTGCAGAGCAAATGACACAACTCAGGTCGGAGGCCAGGGCATTCCAGGCTGGGCGAGAAGCCCTAGGACCTGCACTGCTTCTGGCCAACTTGCCCTGTGAGTGAAGGGAAGTCCCGGCTTCCTTCTGCTGCCCTGTGGGGCAGGGATAGAAGTCGGTTTTTGTTGTTTTGTTTAAAAAAATTTTTTTTTAATTATTGATTTCAGAGACAGGAAGGGAGAGGGAGAGAAGGATAGGAACATCAATGATGCCCAGCTGGTGTTACTCAGTGGTTGTGTCCACCTGTGAACCAAGAGGCCACAATTCGATTCATTGATGTTTCTTTTTTTTAATATATTCATATTGATTTCAGAGAGGTAGGGAGAGGGAGAGAGAGAAAGAAACATCAATGATGAAAGAGACTCATTGATCGGCTGCCTCCTGCATGCCCCACACTGGGGATCAAGCCCGCAACCTGGGCATGTGCCTGTCCAGGAATCGAACCGTGACCTCCTGGTTCATAGGTTGATGCTCAACCACTGAGCCATGCTGGCTGGGCGAAAATGGGCATTTTTTCAATCTTCGGGGAAGTGTTATGCAAACATAGTGTTAAGCATTCCTCTTCCCACCCTCCTTAATTCCAACCACTTGCTGTCCCTAAGCCCTTTCTCTAGAGCAGTGATGGCAAACCTTTTGAGCTCGGCATGTCAGCATTTTGAAAAACCCTAACTTAACTCTGGTGCCGTGTCACATATAGAAATTTTTTGATATTTGCAACCATAGTAAAACAAAGACTTTTATTTTTGATATTTATTTTATATATTTAAATGCCATTTAACAAAGAAAAATCAACCAAAAAAATGAGTTCGTGTGTCACCTCTGACACGCGTGTCATAGGTTCGCCATCACTGCTCTAGAGAAACCCTGGGGCCGCCTGCCCTGCTTGAAGGAGGCCTCCTGCACACTGCAGGCCGCGGGTGGCCTGCTTCACACCTCTGGCTGTGCTGGTCTCTCCATCGGGCCAGGCCAGGCAGTGGAAACCCGTGGGCGCGATGCAAATGGGGGCACTGATCTCCTCCCCTTGGATTGTGGTCCGGGTGTCCACCTGCGACACATCTCTCAGGTACCGGGGCCGGAGGCGGATTCTGTGCTAGACAACAAAGAGGTTTCCTGTTGGTGGGATTATCTCCAACACCAAGGTGCTGCCTGCTGCTGAGGCCTCCAGATTCCTGGTGCAGTTGGAGACCAGACTAGGTCCCCGGAAACCTCTGGTGGGGGACCATTAGCTAAATACGCAGCACAGCAGACTGGAGGCTCCTCTCCTTAAGGAAGCTTCTCCCAACACTGGTTCCACACGAACCCATCTTCTGTGGACCCCACAACCCATCCTCGCTCCCTCCATGGTCTGTTTCTGAGCTTGCTGCCCTGACCGCTCTCAGCATGTGGATGCTTGGGCTGATTCATCAGAGTAAGGACTAGAGAGGGAAGGCATAAACAGCAGAGAGCTCCTGGCCCTTCCCTCTCAGGTTCAAGTCTCTACGTAAGAAGAGGTCACTGAAAGCGGTCAAAGCCCAGGGGAAGGTCATGGCATTCTTTTAGCTAGAGGCTAATCCGTTTGGAGATATGACTTAAAGACTGCTGTAGAAGGTAGGGAAATTTACCCATGACAAATATGTAAAACATTTTTAAGCAAACAGATACTTAGCTTCAGGGCCCCAAATGCTTGTCTTTCACAAAATATTATTGCTCCTGCACACAACTTTAGAAAGGTTTTCCTGGCAATACTGACTGTGCAAACTGGGGCAGATAGGCTCATTACTTCATCCCTGAAATGGAGGAATACTCCACATTTCCTAGTAGTTTTGTGGAGACAAAATGAAATAAAGAGTCAGCAGGAGCTAAACAATCACGAAGACACAGAAGGTGGTGCTGGCCTTGTGTCCCGGGTCTCAGTTTGTTCCTGAGCTTTCTCTCACGGGGCCAGCAGCCTTTCTGCAAAGGGCCAGTCAACATTTTAGACTCTGTGTCTTTGTTACAATGACTTAGCTCTGCTGTTGTAACGTCAAGGCAGCCACAGACAATATGTAAATGGCTGTGCATAGTTGTGTTCTGATAAAACTTTACTTATAGATACTGAAATTTAAATTTTATGTAATTTTTGCCTGTTCCAAATTCTTCTTTTGATTCTTTTCAATCGTGTTATGAGATAACCTTCTTTGGCTTGTTCACCATCCAAAAAATGGCGGTGGGCCAGACCTGGCCTGTGGGCTGCTGTGTGCTGGTCTGTGCTCCGCCCCCTGTTGCTCTAGTCCAACCCTCTGCCTTGAATCAATCTTCCTTCATCACCAGATTTCTGTGTCTCCATATTTCCTCCCACTCGGAGTCCTCTCTCCTTTTATACTTTCTCTCCTGTAAGCATCGTCTGCTCCCTGCCCAGGTGACTGGTGACCTTTGCAGGGAGTGACTAATTTGTGCTAGTTCTGCAGAGGCACTAAGATAAGTTTTCTCTCCAACCTTCCTCTCCCCAGTCATCTGCCCCCCAAAAACCCCAACCCAAAAGAACACAAAAGCCATTATATATCTGCTCTGTTCGTTGCAGGCAGAAACCAGGCCTGCTCCCTTCCCAGGCCTGTGAACCAGGTCCCGAGTTCAACAGCAGAAAGGATACAGGAGACCAGACTTTTTAAATGCTGCGATGTTGTCGTCCCGGGTGAAGCCTTCACCAGCTCCTCCTTCGATATAATCCCAAGTTGACTTGGACAGACGCTCCCGCGCGTGGGCCTCAAAGTCTGTCAGACACACCACGGACATTTCTGCACCTTCAAAGGAGAAACCAAAACCAAACAACCAAACCCAGTAAGAATAATTCAGAGGGAGAGGAGAAGGTAAAGGGGGCTACAGCACGAAGCTGTTTGGATTCATGATTGACCCTCTGTTTTTATTTTTATTTTAGAGAGAGGGAGAGGGAGAGAGAGAGAGGAAGAGAGAGAGGGGGAGAGAGAAACATTGATCGGCTGCTTCCCCCACTTTCTCGACCTGGGGATCAAACTTGCAACCTGCCTATGTGCTCTGATGGGGAATCGAACCTGTCACCTTCTGGTGTATGGGATGATGCTCCAATAAACTGAGCCACCCGGCCAGGCCAGCCCTCTGTGTTCTTTACCTGGGCAGAGGTAAATGTGCTGTCAAAGGTGCAACCAGCCAGCACGCAGCCATGCTCACTGCACTCCTGCCTCTCCACCCCATCCCCACTCCTGATGCTTGGTCTTCTCAATTTCCCTCTTGTCTGTCCCCTCATCACTAAGTCCACTGCCTTAGAGTTGAGGCCCTGCCACATCTTATAAGATTATTTCAAAACATTTCTTATCTTCGCCTTGGCCTCCAGATTCACTCTACATCTTGTCTCCCTCCAGCGCTCAGGACTTCTCTAAAATGCAAGTCTGATCACACTCTTGTCTTTCAGGTGCCTACATCGTAGCATTCCTGGCTTCCCAGGACCTGGCCCTGTCTCACCAGCTTCGGTGTTTGGTGGCTTTCCCTGGTTGATTGAGTCGCTCTGAGCATTTCCTAAAGGTGTTGGAGGGCCATTTCATACCTCTGTGCCTTTCTGGGAGGAGACCCATCAGGGTGGGAAAATTGGGGGTGAACTGATACTAACATCTGAGGGTTTCCAGAACTGGTGTCTGACTTGGGTGGACTTGTGGTTGATATCAGGGAGGAAGATGATGTTTCCCAATTCCTTGGCTGGGTCATTGAACACGTTAATCTTGAGGCCAAGAAGACAACATATTACCTCCACTTGTTCCCATCCCCACTCTGAACCCTGTAAACCTGGAGCCTGGTCCTTCTGAAAGATGAGAGGGCAGGGTTTGGGGTGAATCCCTCCGGGAGGGGCGAGGGCAGTGGGGACAGAACCTCGGAGATGCTGAGGCTCAGGTTTCAGTGAGTCAGCATGTAGAGCTCCTGCATGAGAGGGTTGCACTGGGAGGGTGATAACCTGTAGTCATAGCTCTGGGCATCTCCCAGCAGGTGTCAGCGGCATTAAAACATGAGTAGAAACAGGATGACTTGGACATCTTTAAAGGATGGGGATGAGCCCCAGGAACTAGGGCTTCAAACAACCAAACAGGCAACTCCTGTAATGGACGAGGGGCCAAGCAGGCCAGAGGAAGTGTGGGGTGCTGGGGGTCTTGGTGGGGGTAGGGATGGGGCAGAACTGGCCCAAGGGCATCTGCCTGTGTCAGAATCTAGTCAAGTCAAAGAGAGAAGTAGCCCCACACACCTACCTCAGGGGCCAGGCAGAAAGACCTTAAGTGGCAGACAGAAAACAGAGCCCTGGGATGGGCAGTGGGTTGCGGATGGAGGTGAGGGGGAGGAGCTTGGAGCACAGCCACAGGGCTTTTTATAGGCAACAAACCTTGTCCAGGGTGGGCAGGGAGCTATTGAGGCACTGAGTTGAGTTTGACAAAGTTCAACAACCACATCTAACTTCTCTCCTTCCCGCCCAACCCTCAAGGGCTCGGTAACTTTAGTTGAATGAATGAGTCATTGAGCTGATCCCACCACACTGCAAACGCTTATTTCCTACTCTGTGCAGAAAAGCGTTAACCCAGCAGCCTGAGAATGCTACCCTGAGAAAGGCCTGCTAGCAATGGAGGCTGGGAACTTGGATTTCAGGAGGGTTCCTACGATTCCCTGATAAGACAGGCTCGCTGTGTCTCAACTGTTTGTGCAAATGATGTGGTTTTTGCTGAACATTTGCTTCCCCTCGGAGAGTCCGCAGTGGTTCTCAACCTTCCTAATGCTGCGACCCTTTAATACAGTTCCTCATGTTGTGGTGACCCCCAACCGTAAGATTATTTTCGTTGCTACTTCATAACTGTAATTTTGCTACTGTTATGGATCGTAATGTAAATATCTGATATGCAGGATGTATTTTCATTGTTCGCGACCCACTGGTTGAGAACCGCTGGTCTAGAGAGAGAATGTCTATAGGGCCAGCCCCAGCACTGAAAACACCCTGGGCTCTGGGCTCTGAAATGACTGGCAGACAACACTTCACAGGAGTGGCCACCACTTCTTGCTGCATAATTCCCCTGGGAGAGCACTCCTGGGAGCTTATACCTGGCTTCCTCCAGATTCTGCCCCAGAAACCTTTTCTCTGCTCATTTCGCTGAGCACTCTTTCACTGTAATAAATCACAGCCTCACTTACATGCTGTCTTCCCAGTGAATCACTGAACCTGGGACCCTCAACACACGTTGCATCCCCAGGCATTAGGACAGTACGCCACACTGAGTGGCTGTCCATCAATGTTCATTGCTTGAGTTGGACATTTCCCTGCCTGTCATCTCTCTCTGCCTTGTCGGATGAGAATTCTCTACCAGGTTTCAATTGTGGATGAAAGAAGAGTTTCCATGGAAAGTAATCTCAGGGTGATTTGATCATAAATTCCTGACTGGGCAGGTCATGGTGGGTAGTCACACCCCAGGCATATCACTTCCTTAGTAAAAGGCTTATCTTTGACAATAGGGTGGTGAAGCCCTGGGTCAGGGGTGGGCTAGAAGGGGTCAATGGGGAAAAATAGAGGACATATGTAATACTTTCAACAATAAAGACTTAATTAAAAAAATGCTTATCTTTTCTTTAAGCTAGCCCTGTCCATTGTTTCTGTGCATCTGGGTTAACACACCATTGAGCCCTGACCGGTTTGGCTCAGTGGATAGAGCATCGGCCTGCAGACTGAAAGGTCCCAGGTTCGATTCTGGCCAAGGGCATGTACCTTGCTTGCGGGCACATCCCCAGTAGGAGGTGTGCAAGAGGCAGCTGATCGATGTTTCTCTCTCATCGATGTTTCTAACTCTCTATCCCTCTCTCTTCCTCTCTGTAAAAAAATCAATAAAATATTTAAAAAAAAAACCACACCATTGAAATGCCCCTTTTCAACCGCCCCCCCCCCCCACACACACACTTTTAATGCATGACCTACCTTTCAGGTCATGTCTTCTAAGAGGTAACCACCCCCAAAAGAGCAAATAAGCTTCACTATCCTATTATCCAATCCTCGCCTTGCTTTCTCCCACCTCCATGTAATCTTCCCTACCTTAATTTCAAATGCATAAAACTGCAAAACTGCTGTCCTCCGGAGCATCTGAAATCTTGCTCCCTGGCACATGTAGTCAGCTTGGTTCAGAGAAACTCCTATAAAAATTCTCTGCAGGTCTGGGCATTTCTCAACTTCCACTGTCTCAACAAATCCCCTCATTACCCGCACACAGAAATGCTCTTCTGCAGATTTCTAGCATAGAGACTCAGTGACGCTTGTGTCTGGTCCAAGGAAAATGGCTCAGCCTCACTCAGAATTACTTGCTTGGAGTAGTGTGAATTATATCATCTGAAAGCTGCTTAGAAATAAATAACCCAGCATCTGTATATATACCAAACACCATTTTTACCACACTTCTATCTACTAGTTCCTTCTCTCTACTTCTCTGTGACGTAGACAGGAAGGTCTCCCTCTCTCCTCTCTCTCTCTGCATTTGAAGAGAATGAGACAGTTAATGATTACAAAGGAAGGCCCAGAATCCTGGCTTCTGTTAGCCTTTAAAGATAGATGTTCTCCAAGTTCAATCTCACGGTGCACAGCCAAATAGTTGGTTCACATGAAGTACTTGTTACATGGCATTTCGGAGAATTTCCTAGGGTGAAAGTACAATTATGATGCATTTTTTTCTTTTCATAGCATGTGGAGAGCTCAGTAGAGTACTGAGCCCGTGGTTTTCCTTAGAGGTAAGGCTGATAGTTGAAGAGAATGACAACCTTGTTGTTCAAGGCTTTCCCTGAGTTTGGGAGGCAGACTTAGCTCTCTATGTTTTTATGTATTTCAGTTTGATCCATACAAGACTTAAAGGCACCAGATATTAAAGGAACGATCCAGGTCATCTAATGGTTTGCTTGTGTTCCCATTTTCTTTGATCTCCATTCAAATAAAGAAGAGGAAAGAATAAAAGTCTCTTGCGAATTAGTAACTGTAGCTCATTTAAGCTCATTCAGTTTGTTTAGGCTTTTTGCCTCATGGTAAACAACAATGCGGTACAACTAGTACACCAGTGATAAGAAAGCTAACATCTGAGAGCAAGGACATCCAGTGGTATCTGGTGCTCACTATCTGAGGATCAAATAGTTTTGCCTGCCTGAGGAAAGGGGCAAGGACGTGGATGGGGGCTGGAAAGAATTTCAAGGCAGACCTTGCTTTCGCAATACTGCCATTTAATCTAATGCAGTTAGATAACAAGTTATTTTCCTTTGAAGATTTCAGATGACTTGTATGATTCATATGATCCATGTTGGTGTCTTTTTAGGAATTCTAGGTATTTTCAGTCACCTGGGAATCCAACCTGTATTTTAAAAGCATTCTTTCTGGGATGAGGGCATACGACAGGGGGTAGGGGAGGCTGGGGGAAGGTCAATGGGGGATAAAAAGGAGATATATGTACTACTATGTGTAATACTTTAAATAAAAAAAATAAAAGCATTCTTTCTATGGGAAAATGGGTGCTGAGTTCTAAATACAAGGCTTCCAAGTAGAGTTTTGGGACTCAGTCTTAGTGTTATGTTGTGAATTGTGTGCTGACTGTGGGGTGTGGAGACCATGCAGGGCATGCTGGGAAATAGGGACCTGAATGCTCACTTGGTGTTTTTAAAGGTTGGGAATTTTCTTATTCTACTGAGCAGTGGAATAATTTGATTACACAAAGACCCCTGGAGACAGCAGAATGGCCCCTTAGTAATAATAATGACAATAAAATTGCAACCACTT